AATATATATATATAACACGCATCTACAGATTTCAATGCATCTGCTTCTGCAGTTAACCCTGGTAAAATTCATTAAGACCATAGTAAGCTCTGGCGACTAAAAACCTCCTCACAGACACACGAAACTGGCAATAGTCGTTGATGTTTCGTAATTCCCGGGGTAAATGATTGAACATTTTTATGCTCTCATAAATAATCGAGTGTTTTGTCAATGCAAGTCTAGGAATAGGTAGGGGCAATTGATTGTGTCGAAGGCTATACGCTCTCTCTTGCACAAATCCAGAAAACTTTTTAAATGTCAAACTGACAGACTCAAGAATAAAAATGCAAGGTACAGTCAATATTTCTTCTTGCTTAAATAAGGGTCTACATGTGTCTCTACAGCCCACACCACATAGATATCTTATGGCTCTCTTTTGCAGTATAAATACTGATTGAATTGATCTTTGCACGGAGTATCCCCAAAAAGCTATCCCATATCTTACATGTGCCTCAAATAATGGAAAGTATGTCTGTCTGGCTGTTCCTTTGTCAAGTTCATGAGAAATAGTTCTAATGATATAGCAGGCACTTGCTAATTTTTTCGTTAGGCAATTTATGTGAGGCTCAAACTTCAACTGTGAATCAATGTGCAGACCCAGAAACTTCACTGTGGTTCTATTCTCTAATGTTTCATTTTGTAGCATGATATCATTTAGAGCACACTTGAAAGTCAGTATATTTGTTTTCTGTATGTTGAAGCAGAGCGCATTGGCATCACACCACCCCTTAATTTGTGAAAGATCGTTCTCTATAACTGTCTTGAAGATGGTTGGATTTTCTTTCGTAGTCCATAATATATTTGTGTCATCAGCAAACGCTACCATCTTCGCAGATACTGGTAAGGAGAGCAAGTCATTGATGTAGACAAGGAATAGAATCGGCCTCAAAACCGAACCCTGTGGCACTCCGTGTAAGATTCCCTCTGCACCCGAATCAACACCACCCGAACGAACAAACTGATCCCTCCCCAAAAGCATTGAAGCAAACCAGCTCAACTCAGTTCCCAGGACACCATAATGGCTCAGCTTCCGCAGCAGTATTCCATGATTAACCGTATCGAAGGCCTTTGAAAAATCGCAGAACACTGCCGCAGCAACCTCTCCTCCATTCAAACCAAGGTACAAACTCTCCAAAAATGAAAACATGGCATCACCCGTGCCCCTGGACCCCCGAAAGCCAAACTGGTTTTGACTCAGGATGTTATTTTCATTCAAGTAGTCAATCAGTTGCTCCCTAACAATTTTTTCCATGATCTTAGAAAGGGTGCTCAGTAGAGAGATCGGCCTATAGTTCGATGGGTCAGAGCTATCGCCCCCTTTAAAGATTGGTATAACTATCGCTGACTTAAGACATGGAGGAAAAATTCCTGTTGTTAAAGACGAATTTATACATGATACCAGCACCTCAAGCGCGATGTCTGGTAGGTTTTTCAAAATCTTTACAGAAATTTCGTCGAGTCCTGACGCATTCTGTTTTTTTATTGATTTAATACAGTTTTTAATTTTCTCTTTATTGGCCAATTTAAACTCAAATCTAATCGAATGCGCACTAGGCTGAAGATAAGCAAGAGGATCGATATGAGAATCTAAACCCTGGGTTAATCTACCAGCGACCGAGACATAAAAATTATTAAGCTTCTGTGGGCTAACATTAAGTAATTCTTTTGGCTTCGCTTCCTTACCCCTTAACTCATTAATTATTTTCCAATATTCTCTGCTTCTATTTTCGGCTTTATCAATCCTTTTCCTGTAATATTTATTCTTTGCCTCCCTTATGACCCGCCTGTACACAGACCGATACCCATTAAAATACCGTATAAATGATTGGTTATCTGTAAACTTTCTAATTGTGTGAAGAGATCGCATATTTTTCCCTGAAGTCTTGATACCTTTGCTAAGCCAGCCTTTTTTAGTTTTCGTTTTAATTTTTCGGAGAGGAAAACTTTTTTTGAAAATATCTGACACATTTGATTGAAAGGAACGCATTGGATCGTCTGAAATCTAACAGCGATTCCAATTAAATTGACTTGCATGTCTTTTGAAGCTTTCAAAATTTTTTTTGCTATATATCCTACGCCTGACTACGGACTTTTTTCGTAATGTATCAGACAAAGTCAATTCCGCCGCCAAAGCTTCATGGTCAGAAAGTCCCGAGGCCACCACTCTGCAGTTCATCTCACCAAAATCAGCGTTACTGCATATATAATCAATTGCAGTAGCTGAATGTTTTGTTATACGCGTTGGTTCATTGACGAACACTTTCAGGTTGAAGGAGGTTAATAAAACTATTAACGCTTTCGTGTCTTTTGAGTCAGGACTTTCGTAATTAATATTAAAGTCTCCTGCAAGAACGATTCTAGATGAAATCGAGAATTTGTGCAGGAGGGCCTCGAGACCTTCCAAAAATGTATCCGGACTACCAGAAGGGGGTCTATATACACAAACAACAAAGACATCCAGTATCTTTACATAAACAAGGGAAAATTCGAAATGGTTTCTAATAATTAAATTGTTGAAAGAATCGATGATGCATATTATTTCATACTGAGCAAAAAAATCTTTATGAATAAGGATTATACCGTACCCCCATAGCCCTCCTCTCTGAAATATTGAGAGGCTATTTTCTAATCAGGAATGTAACACACTTCTCCACTTGTTAACCAATGCTCGGTGAGAAGAACAAATTTAGGCATGTTGTTATTTTCAATTAGAATTAATAGTTCGTCCGATTTTTTTCGAATTGACTGTATATTGAGCAGAAAAAAAGTTAGTTTTACCTCTTTCTTATTTAATTCTTTAAAGTTTGTTTTTTTAGTAGGAGAAGCGTTGTTTTTTAGTCTAAAAAAGTTGAACTATTGTTACCTTCCCTATTACTGTTCATTTTAAAAATAAAGTTGTCGACTTGTTGAGCTAATTTCAGTTTTGCAGTATAATTCAAAGTTATAGATTTATTATAAGTAATTCGAGGTTAAGAACGAGTTTAAATTCAGAAATAACTTGTAAGCACCCTTAAGCCTTTCAAATATCGAAATATTTACCTTGTCTATAAATTTGTTCATGTTTACCCTAGAGTTATCCTTAACCCGGGGTCGACCTGCTCCTGCTATTGAGAAACTGGCCCTAGGGCTCTAAGCTCTTGAAAGGAATACAACTTTTTGTGCATTTGAATGGTTTGATTCGGGATTGAGCACTTCAGGTGCAATAAACACTTTTCGAAAGGAATAAGCGCGTAACGCCCCGGAACTGTTCCGGAGCTCCTCCAAGGTGTGAAAGGAATACAACTATTTTAACAATTCGATACGAACTTCGACACGACTCGTAAAATGGAATCCGGTTGCAGGTAGAAACGAAAGAGAAAGAATGACAGTTACCGAAAAACCGATCAGCGATTGCCGGATGTCTCGGTAACGACGGTGGCTATGTTCCGAAATCAACTGCCAGTACTGGTTTTGCTGTGCTGATTTTACTGTCATTTGCCGTTCCAATTTCAACAGCGTATTTTTGTGGTCATTCAGTACCAGTGATGTGCCTGTAGACATGTCAACGTAAACAATTGATTGTCTACGCGTAGACAATTCGAATTGTCTACGTGAGCATTTGTCTACACATTGTCTACATGCGGCGTAAACAATAACTTATTTCAAAAAAATCGAAAAAAAATATCAAAAGTTACTATACTATCTCTATTACTTCGATATTAGCATTCACTGATTATAAAGTATCAGAAAAACCAATAATAAAATAAAAATAATTAAAAAAAGGCCGTGGCTAAAGTAACAGAGGTGTTACTGTAATTATTTTTTTAAAGTAACATCAGTTCATTGACCACTGATGACAACCAATGATGTGCCTGTAGACAATGTCAACGTGAACAATTGATTGTCTACGCGTAGACAATTCGAATTGTTTACGTGAGCATTTATCTACACATTGTCTACATGCGGCGTAAACAATAACTTATTTTAAAAAATTCGAAAAAAAATATCAAAAGTTACTATACTATCACTATCACTTCGATATCAGCATTCACTGATTATAAAATATCAGGAAAACCAATAATAAAATAAAAAAAAATTAAAAAAAGGAAAGTGTGAGGTTAGAATTAAACGTCATTTATATTATTTTACATTGTTGACACGTTGTCTACATTGTCTACATTATCTACACGTAAAGTAGACAATGAAAGTCTACGTGTAGACGCACATCCGGAACATATCGGAACGGCGTCCAGTAAATTCAGTACTGACAGTTGATATCGGAACATAGGCGGTAATATCTTCGATATAAAAAATATTTTCAGGAATCACGTTCCGTATTAAGCCTAGTACTCATAACTGCGAAATTCGCATTTTTTTGATATTGCGTTGACAATTTGAAGTTTGATACATGCATAAAACGTCAAATTGTCAACGCAATGTCAAAAAAATGCGAATTTCGCAGTTATGAGTACTAAGCTTTAACCGGTTTTTCAGAGCCGCTTTCCAGTATGGGAGTGTGACGCCCGGAGCTACTCGGGGCGTTGAGCTCCCGAGCTGTACGTACGCGTCAACCTGTCAACTGTCACATCCGTGGGTGGCTATTTATTTATTTATTTTGTTATATCTCAAGATTGAACATTTTGAAAAATATAGTTTTGATTCTCTTTCATTTTTGATAAATGAAAAAACAAACTGCACAAACAAACAGATAATTATTTTTAAAATTTGACATATTTGACACTAAGACAGGCGTCTCACGCCATGATACTGGAACGGTACAAATTTAGTGCGTGGCGCCCCTGAGGTGCTCTAGAGCGCGCCAGAGCACGCCAATGTGCATACTGGAAAGCGGTTCAGGCATCAGACATTACGGAACGTGTAACCGTAACCAAGGTTGGAAACGGAACCGAGAACCCACCCTCACAAATATGTCATATGTCTACTGAATTTTGAGCATTCAGTGACGTCAGTGTGTCAGTAGTGTCAATGAACTATAACCAAAAACAAGGGGGAATACTGAGCATATGTTTTTGGAGTAAAATGAGTTCTGTCGAAGAATTAAAGAAAAAAATGGCCCAACTAGAAGCCGAGCTTGCTACCCTGAAAAATACTGGCCAAAGAAGAGATAAAATTAATAATATGTCCTCAGAAGTGGTTGACAGCAATCCTTACAGGTATACCTACAATTATCATTTCCAACAAACATTTATTAATTTATGTTCGAGTTTATATTACTTTATGATAGTCAAAGTATCACAAGTCATAACTATTTGCCCCAGTCATCACTCAAAGATTAGGTGTGTCAAGTTTCCCTAACCGTTTCTGAGAAGACACAGCCCTACATCCTTCCACCTAGCAATCAATGATTTTTTAATTCTCTGGTCTTCACTATCCGCATCGATTTCCAAAGTTTAAAAATGATTACATTTTCTGATCTACCACTATAGATTCAGAGCCATAGCTAAGGGGCATATCTAAAGGTAAACTGGTGAATATCTGATCTTGTCGAATATGTTAAGTTTTAATTGCAAATACTGTGTATAAGTTGATTGTAAAATTTTATTGTTCTATCACTATTTAACGACTAGTGCTTATATATATTAACATGAATAAAATTGAGTATTGGAAGCATATTCTATGTTTAAAGTGAGACGATTAAAGATTTGTGTTATGAAGTGGGAATTAAAGTATATTCCTTGGTTCATTACTTAACAAATATCTAACTGATAAAGACATCACACCAACTAAATTCCGATTCAATTCAAGACACCATGAGTTTCTTCAAAACATTAACTCAAGGTTTTTATAAGAAAGAAGTTTATAATGGGACATCCAGAGCTCATTTGGGAGTCAACAAAAACAACAAGATTTTACTTACACTTCTGAATAAGTATAAGAGAGCTTTGTCTTTTTGCAGTTTTTTGGTATTTATTTCTTAGTTGTTAACTCATATGTTAATTATCTCTATTATTTTGTTTTGGTATCATTTTTGTTTTGTTCAAATTGTTTTGTATTTTGTAAATAAGCTTCACATCTTCACAGTGGCGGATTTACCCATACGCTAACTACGCTGCAGCATAGGGCCCCGGGCAGCCTGGGGCCCCGCAGGGGCCCTCCCATTATTTCAGGAATATAGGTACTTACTCCAAATTCCAGATTTATAAAAAAATAAGTTAAAATAATTAAAATCTTTAAAAAAATAAAAAAAAAAATAGAAATTAGAACTGAATAACGATGATGCGATAAGGGAATTTGCCGATATTAAAATTAGAAAAAAAAATGCTTTTGTGATTTTTAGTTGTTTCCTATATGTTCATATTTTATACTTTTTTATTTATCTCAAGCATACACTACAGAATATTATATTTTAAATAGTAGTTCCTCAAAATAATCGAAATTAAAAAAATATCAAAAATAAAAACATAGATATGCAGATAACATACAGAAGCAATCCCAGTTAAAGTCAAGCCGCATAATTATTCTGATAAAAACAGATAGACAAAGTTATATAAAACGAGAAATGAATAGGAGTCACAGTTAAAATTAGATAAACATTATCATCTTCCTGATTTATGGCAGGGAGTAGTTAAAAATATCACAGTTGCAGTAGAAACGGTTTTAGTTAACCACCAATCTGTCGATGAAAACAGTTTGGAAATAGTTGATACGATGTTGTCCTTCATAAAACAGTTTATGTTGCCTGGTGCGTCTTAAGGGAACTTTTGAATGCAGTAAGCCTAGCAAGGTGTCACAGTCGATTATCTTATTGCACAACTTGTAAAGCAAAATAAACATAGCTTCTATTCTTCGGTGTTCAAGACTTTTTAGTCCACAAAGCATCAGCCTAGTTTCATAGGTTAGTCCGTCTGAAGGAAAATGGTGCCTATATAGAAGGTACTTTGTGAACTTATTTTCAACCCTTAATAATCTGCTTTTGTGGATAGTGTATTTGGGGGTCCACATAGTTTAGCAGTATTCTAGTGTGCTACGGACGAGTGAGCAATATAGACACCATACTGCTTTGGTATCCATCATATATTTGGAATTCTTTTTTATAAAACCCAGTATTCTAAGGCCCTTAATTACAACGTTTTCAAAATGCAAATTGAAACAGAGGTCTTTTTGGAAAACCACTTCCAAATCATTGAATGAGTCGACTGAGGTAACGAGTTGATTGTTTATGGTGTAGTTATGAACAATTTGATTTTTACACTTATAGAAATTGATGGATTTGCATTTTGGAAAAATAATCTTTAGGCGATTGAGGGAACACCAAGATACAAACTTGTCAAGGTCATCCTGCAATCGGTTATGGTCCACAGATACCTTATTGTAAAATTTCATATCATCAGCGTCCAACAAGACATGAGAAGAGGAGAAGCAGGACGTTACGTCATTGATGAAGAGAGAAACAGGTCAGGTTCCAGGTGAGATCCTTGAGGGACACCAGAGGTAACCATTACTTCACTGGATAGTGTACTAGCGACATCAACTCGCTGCCGGCGACCACCAAAGTAAGATTGAATTCAGCTGAGATAGTTTCCAATTATCCCAATTTCTGATAATTTCTTGAGGAGGAGCTGATGGTGAACGCTGTCAAAGGCCTTGGATAAGTCGGTATAAATAGAATCAACTTGATGTCCCTGTTCAACTGAGGTGACCAAAAAGTTCTGGTAGACTGCAAGGTTGGTTGTGATAGAATGTCCTCGGTATAAGTTATGCTGGACAGAGATAAAGTATCTGTTGTAAGTCGTGAATATCTCGTCAGTTAGAATAGATTCGAGGAGTTTAGGAATAGCAGATGAGATGGAAATACCACGATAATTCTCGATGTCACTTATATCCCTACTACCTAAGTACATAGTTTTTAGTTTTTTTACTGTTATGATTTTTTTCGGTTGTACTTTTAGAACTTTGTTTCGATTTTGTTTTAATTTATCAATAAATTCTAGAATGAAAATATTTGTTTTACTAAGTAGGGGGTAGAGGGTAGGAGCCCCAAAAATTATGTAGCGTAGGGCCCCATAAATCGTAAATCCGCCACTGCATCTTCAAGATTTTTCAACTGTTTAATCTTCAATAATGCATAGTTTTTGTATACCTTATAGTTTCAGGTGTATAGGTACCTACCTAATGGTTTATTCCAAATATTGTTTTTCTCACTTTAAAGCTGGATTTATACAGGAAATAAAATAAAATAAAATAAGAAATAACATAACAAATAAGCAAAATAAGAAATGAGTCGTTTATACAGAAAAATATAAAATAAAATTAGAATTATTTTGAACCAATCACAACACGCCTGAACTGTCATCGGTCTAATCTAATCGACGTCGTGACATGCGCAAATAGTATTTTCACATAAAATAAAATAAGAAGTTAAAAGTTAACCAACTTTTTATTTTTGCTTATTTGTTATATTATTTTATTTTTGTGTATAAACGCTACCATGGGTTCTCATAAGGGCATCTTTTAATTTTATTTTATTTCTTATTTTATGTTATTTTATTTCCTGTATAAACCCCAGCTTAATTTTGTATTTGTTCTAATTTATTATATTTGATTTTACTAAGTGCTCAATTTACATTGGGGCATTGTCTCCTCTGTGTTGGTTGAATAAGACATCCACTCAACCTAAGTTGAATTGTTCTTTTTTTTTCTGTTGATTCCAACCGAAATTCTTCCAAACTACGAGGACCAATAAAGTATTCACAGCCAAAAAAGCTAACCCAAATCCGAGCTTCTTCTATAAGATACAAAATTTATTGACAATGTAAACAATTATCTACACTGAAATTTACCCTCAACTCACTATTTTATCCTATATTTCATTTGCGATTCTTATACACGTTCTTATATTCATTTAATTTGATTGATTGAATTTCATTTTAGTCGATTGATGGCATTGCAAAGAATGGGCATTGTGGACAATTATGAAAAAATCAGGGACTTCACTGTAGCTGTTGTTGGAGTAGGGGGTGTTGGTAGTGTGACTGCTGAAATGTTGACCCGTTGTGGCATAGGAAAGCTAATACTTTTTGACTACGATAAAGTTGAACTGGCTAATATGAACAGGCTATTTTTCCAACCTCATCAATCTGGTTTAAGTAAAGTTGATGCCGCGGCAGAGACACTAAGTAACATTAATCCAGATGTAGAAATTGCAACCTATAACTATAATATAACTACAGTGGAAAATTTTGACAATTTTACCAAGACCTTAATGTGAGTAACTTTATTTTATGATTATATTATTTTATTTACAGTAATGTACGGCTATAAGAAACCTAGGATATATCGATAAAATAAATCAGGGAAATAAAATAAGAGATACCTATAGGGGAACATTTTTATTGCCTGGCAAAAAGTATCTTCTATCTTAAAGTTTCGTATTACTAGTTATTGTTTTTACTCTATAACTGACAGGCTTTATCCTATTATTTTGAAAAATCTTTTCAGTGGTTTGTGATTTTAATTAGTTATAACTAATATACATACTAATAACTCTCAATTTATAGGACATCTAGTGCAACTAATGGACCAGTAGACCTAGTTCTTAGTTGTGTAGATAACTTTGAGGCAAGATTTGCAATTAACACAGCATGTAATGAATATAATCTTAACTGGTTTGAATCAGGAGTCTCTGAAAACGCAGTTTCCGGTCATATTCAATTTATTTCCCCAGGGGAGACTGCTTGCTTTGCTGTAAGTGATAGGAAAACACATTTATTTGCTTTCATCACATAATGTGTAAATTTTAGTGTGCTCCACCTCTAATTGTTGCTTCAAAAATTGATGAAAAAACTTTGAAGAGGGATGGTGTATGTGCAGCTAGTCTTCCAACCACCATGGGTATTGTTGCTGGGTTTTTAGTTCAAAATGCATTGAAGGTAAATTTTCTTGTAACTTATTTTCCATACTTTCAATGTAGATACCTACAATTAGAGTTGAGAAGGTAAAATTACTCAAGGTAATTTACGTAATATTACCCGTATACTGGTAAAATTGGTAAAATCGGTAAAATTGGACGTAAAGTCGATAAAAATATGGTATTAGTCCTAGAATTATAAACAAGGGTGTTGTAGCAGTAGAGACTTCAAAATTATTAAGGAAACCAAGGATGTGTGTTAAACTTAAATTTGTCTCTCTTTATTTTGAAACATAGAAAGAGAAACACCAAAGCAGTAAAGTATGTCGACGTAAGAGACAATGACCATGTTCATTTCCGGGTTTGTCTTTCTAGGCCTTTACGGAAATGATTCGATTAACCCGATCACAGGCTGTTTGTTTTTCATCTTTCTCCAATGATCAGCGTTTTTTTGAAGCCCTAACATCTCTGTATCAGAAAATAGACAATAATAGGTCTGTTCGCGCAGTAATCACAAACCAGTCAGAGCGGTTTGGTTGAAAACAGTCAGAAAACTAGTTTCAACCATTCTGACTGGTTTATGATTTCTGCATGAACAGACCTAATATCGATATCATCTTAGCACTATTAGTAGGCATTCTACAATTAAAATCAATGTTGCATCATTGTAGAATCACAAAGTTATTATTTTTCAATTTTACCGGTAATATTACGTGAAATTGCCGGTAATTTTACCAGAATTTATTTTACTGGTAATTTTGCAACTCTACCTACAATTTTTATTCATCTTCAGATAAACTTGCTGGTAACTATCTGCTATAAATTTACTGTTCTATAATTCTATTGGTCGGCGGATAACTAGCCGATGGCGTTTTTATCTGTCAGATTGCATATCTGACAGTTTATCAGATGGTGAATAAACCAGCCCCGAATGTTATTGTCCTCAATAAAAGCGTTAGGCGCGTGTTTGACTTGAGAATAACCTTTAAAAGGTTGTCAAAGTCAAAAATCGGTGCTGTTTCTTTCCCAATGACACAATTGATGATGACATGATTTTTTTGCATAACGCGCCATTTTTGAGATATTGGGTTTGAAAAAAAAATGGTTCAAAACAATTGCACAGTTTATCAATCAACAAAATGATAACGGCTCGGCTATCACAAATTTCAATAATAAACTGTGCGATTGATTCGAACCGTTCTAGAACTGTCCTTTTTCCAAACACACACAAAGCTGAGACTCAAGTTAAATGGACCACCTGGTATATTTAGGATCAGAAATTTTATTAAGAATAGAACTAAAAAGCTTTTTTACAATGCTTTTTTCTTTTCTTATCACACTTTTAATACCTGATGGCAGTATGGGTAACATGCGACCGAGTTTACGGGGACTGTGTCCAAGTTTTACAGAGTAGAGTAATACACATTTTGTATAACCAATTTTTGTTGAACAATGAAATACCTAGCAATTCACCAAGAATACAAAACATCATCTATCTATCACACACAAAACAGAGCAAATGTGGGCATTAGCAGTCCGTTTTTTTAATTATTAATGGCACTGATCAGAGTTTCATGTTATGGTATGGTATGCTGGTAAAAAGTAATATATTATTTTGTTTTCAAAAAATAAAATAATAAATACTTGCCTAAGTATTTATTTTCCTTTTGAGTAATGGCTAATACTAATACATAATACTATACTGTATTAGAAACTACAAAAAATTTACTGGATAGTTATTGATAACAAATTCTTATTTCTTGCAGTATTTGCTTCAGTTTGGACAAGTTACAAATTATTTGGGTTACAATGCTTTGAATGATTTCTTCCCAACAATGAACTTACGTCCAAATCCAAATTGTGAAGATAGGAATTGTCAACTAAGGCAGGCTGAATTTGCAGCAAAACCAAAAACAGAACAAGCTCAAGAGGCTATAGAAGATGAAGGTCCAGTTCATGAATCAAACGAATGGGGAATATCTTTGGTGAACGAAAGTATAGATAAAGAAGAGAAAGGGACCACTGTGGCTGAAGGTTTGACACTTGCATATACTTTACCTGGAGCACCAGATACTACGCCATTGGAACATGCTCAGGAAGCCATTGGTAATGGTGCGAGTCTAGAAGATCTAATGGCTCAGATGAAAGCTATGTAAATTTTATTCAATAAACTACAGTGAAGATATCTCTTAACAGGCACCTTATAACTGCTTTAAATTATATTGATAGTTTAATAGATTAACAGACATTCTTTTATTTAAATATGTTGTGGAAAAATTTGGAAATTCACAATGAGGCGCTCTAGGTAATTTCCCAAGTCTGGCGCTTACATATTATTTAAGATCTGTAGGTGTTTATTGAAAAACATAAGTTAAGTTTTTCTTATTTCTTGGCAATGATTTTTCAATTTCATGATTATTTTGATTGCTAAGCTAAATATTTTCAAAAATTTTCAATTATTATCATTTACTACTCTTATAAGTTAACAAATAAAAATATTACCACAGATGTCCTGTTGTAAGAGATAGCTCTTTATTCTAATAATTATTATGTTATTTTAGATGTGCTTAAGTTTGATTTTATTGTTTATTTGTAAAAAACACTCTATAGAGGTATAATTTTTTAATATATTGAAATGTTTCTAGAAACTAATGTGTTTTAATCAAATTCCATTGCAATTTCAAAATATTTATTTTCAGCATTGGTATAAAAACACTTTTGTAAAGCTTCAACAATAGTTATACACTTCTGTGGCATTAAAGAAATTTGTGACTAGAATTTTAATATCTTACCATTTGCCTAATAACAAACGCACCTATATAACAATAATTATCACCTATAAACATAACAGTTTTTATTTGCATTTGCTCTACATGGTCAACTAAGAATATACATATGTAATTCAGAAGTATTCATTCAAATTTGTATGGCATATTTTTCTGTTTATCGTAAAATATTTACATACATTTTATTTGAAGTTATGCCAGAAGTTTTGGTAGTTTTTATACCCCTCTCTTTCCCGCGCCACAATGCAGAAAAAAATGAGACTTAAATCATACAAATTTGAATGAACTATCTGAGAAAGCTTCGAGTACCAGATCGACCAGAATCTGAAAACTAGTGACCAGTAAAGTCTTAGTGTGCTCCTAAGCTCAGAGCCAATAGTTCAAGCACTAAGAAAAAAATTTCAAAAATTAAAATTACAATTAATTTCTTGCCTTGCATTTGACGTAAACCGACATGTAAGAATCCCGCCATCAAAATAAATGATAATACTTAGTTAAAAGAGAATCAAATTAAATTGAAAAAATAAAAATTATACCTAGTGAACAATCCAACAATCAGAAAATATTTTTTTCAATAATCTGTCATGTTTTTTATTTTAGAAAAATGTCTGGAAAATGCTGCTCTTGCACAGGGCTTACATGGAGGTGCAAGTTGCGCCCAAGTCAAGGCCGAAGTAGACCTATATTTGTCGCCTAAACCTTGTAAATACTTATCGCCCCTGGTATAGAAAAAAGAGTGCCATGTGCCAAATACAAAATTGTTGAGAAAACCAAGAATACCTCGAATAAAACTGCAATTTTGAAACTTATTATTAATTTGCAATTATTTGTACTTTTCCTGTCTACATGAGTTTATGTATGTGCCACTTGTCACCTTTTTACACAACGTGAATAAAGATGTTATGGCAGTTATCTCAAAAATGGTTCAATTGCCACTTGGCCCCTTTTTACTCTACAGAGGCGATATGTATTTTCAATTCCTTAATCTATAAATTGAGCTTATAACTATATGGAGAACTATACATTTCATTTAAATTTTCTTGAAACCTATTGTTGTTGTTGGAAATTAATAATTAAATATACTCATCCATATGATATAGCAGATGTTCAGATCAAAAAATAAGCTTTATTGACAAAGCAATCCAGTACTGGAACCACAAACAATCGCTATCGATAAGTTCTCGACAATTTCCCCTCATTTCTCACCTCGTCCACCCATCGCTCAACGTTCGGGTCCAAAATTGCCACCACAATCGAACATTTGCGGTGCAAACGAACGTTTGCAGTGGTAATTTTGACGACTAACGTTGAGCGATGGGTGGACGAGGTGAGAACTTGTCGATAACTTATTGATAGCGATTGTTCGTGGTTCCACCTCAGGTCTATAAAATTTAACAAACTAAACTGCTGGACAATTGCTTTTGAGCAGAAGGAAAACTTCGCTCACTTTCAAGTTCGATATTTTTGGAGCCAAAATATCGACCTCTTGTTTCCATATAGCAATTTTTTTCACAAAAAGTCAATCTGTCAGCCTGGGAAAACTGGAGGTCGATATTTGGTCTCGTTCCAAAAATATTCAGCTTGAAAGCAGCAGTTAATAATAAATTAGGTAGGAAAAAAAAAATAGAGCAGACCAAAAGCGAAAAGCTTCAAAATAAAATAAATAAATGAAATACAACAATCAGGGCCTAATTAATACATCATGATTGATTTGACATTAAAAAAACTGTTGATCCAAAAGCACCTCAACATTATAATTTGTAATTTTCAATACATATTCAAAAATTTGGCAAGTTTCACTCCTGTATTGAATTTCCCTAGAAAATAATTAAGTTATTTTTGCTGATCAGCAAATTGCTGATAATGGTAATGCAGTTTTTTTGCTTGATAAGCAATACAATCAAATGCGGTCAGTTTGTAGAAGAGCGGTCAGTTAAGTTAGTGGAAGTGATGAGAGCCATGCAGACAATTTTTATGATATTGCCGCCCACGTCCTCAGCAATTGCCACCGCCCAGAATAAATTTTTTTCAGAGTTTTTTTCAATTGAATTGCATATGCGGTCATTCAGTGAAGGTGCGATTATTACCAAAAATTATTTTCAAAACATAACCGCCCCCAACCGCAGTCATTGCCTTTCCCTAGAATTACAAACATGCCTATTATATATTTTTTTTAATTAATGGGGGGCAGTCATGTTTTAAAAATTATTTGTTGTATTAACCACACCTTCACTGAATGACCACATATGTAATTAGACTTAAAAAAAAAAAAAAAAACTAATGTACTTAATAGGAGTATTTTTTATTTTGGGGGGCGGCAATGGCTGCGCTTGGAAGCGGTTATGTTTTAAAAATTCTTTTTGGTATAAAATGCACCTCCACTAAATGACCGCATGCTTAGATCATACCATTTAAAACGAAACAGGCTAAATATCTGATGGCACTTTTATTTTTTGAAAAATCACTCGTACACGTTATTTGATTGTGTGAGTGTTTGAAACATTTTCAGCACTAACTTAGCCCTCTAGGGGTGGTGGTACCAACCCTTACCATTGCAAATGGAACAGGGGGTCGAGTGATACCTGTTTCAAAAGAGCGTTCAATTTTCTTTCAAATGACATCAAATGAAAGAGAATTGAACGCTCTTTTAAAAGAGGTATCACTCGACCCCTTGTTCCATTCGAATTAGTTAGGGTTGGTCCCACCCCGCCTAGAGGGTTGAAGGTGAAGTGCTGAAAATGGTTGCAGAAAACTTCCCCCTTTGAAAATCAAATTACGTGTAGGAGCGATTTTTTTAAAAATAAACGCGGCATCAGATATTTAGCCTGTTTCGTTTTAAATGGTACATCCTGTATGTATTCGGATTGAAAAAAAACAATGTAATAGGCTTCTGCTAATTGACCAAATTTGATTAGATTGCTTAGGTATCGAGCCAAAAACTGCATTATCAACAATTTGCTGATCAGCAGGCAGAATAGATGTTCCTGTTCAAAATACCTCTTCTCTCCAAACAATAACCTACCTAACAACTAAAATAAAATGAAATTTTCCACTACTGGTGTACCATTTGTTTGATTTGTATTATTTGATATTATTTCTCTAGAAGAACAAGATGTTGCAGAACTTTCGTGAAATGTTTCTGTCTCTAGGTGACTATGAAATGTTGATTTGATTTCTTTCGTTTTGGTTTTCTTGACTTCAACTCGAGCTTCAACCTTATGACTGATATTTGCTGAAGCCTCTTTATTTCTTAAATATTCCAGAATGGGATCCTTACCAGTCTTCATTGCCAATTTTGTTCTTAATATAATACTTTGAGAACGCCAATATTCATAGGATGCTATTTTCAATGCTGATACCCATTTGTTCACATCATCATCAGTACGGCACGAGAATATGTGCTTAGCTTCATTGTCTCTGAATTTATCGTTAACTTTGAAAGACAAGGAAAAGGCAAAAATACCCTTATGAGGTCTTTCATACGCAACATGAGCATTTTCTAAAACCAATAAACCTAGAGGTTCTTGCTCATTGATCCTATGATAAAAAAGCATGTTCCCTTTGAGCTTGAATAATCTTTCCTTAAATATAGGTTGTTGATACCATTCGTTTCCTTGGGGCTTCATATGATTTAAAACACCTTCCAAATCTGCTTTGCTTTCAGACATTTTAGAAATTTCCTTATCATTAAACCTCATTTTCCTAGAATAATCACAGATATTGTTTGGAAATATAATTTAACAAATTTAAACAGCAATCTAATTTCTAATTGATTAAAAGGGTGGGTTCCGTTGCCAAACCCGGTTAACCGGTCGGTGCAACGTCGGTTGACAGTGGTTGCTGTGGAAATTTCGGTTTACGGAACGCTTTTCCAATCGCAGAATTGCCGCCGGTTGCCTCGGTGACATGTATAGACCGGTTTTTCAGGCACCTACGGAACGTGTAACCGTAACCAAGGTTGGAAACGTAACCCAGCCTAAATATAAAAATGAATAAATTAATAGTTTGGGCGCTTTCTTTTATTCAGCGATGGATCCATCGTTGACCAGCAGGGATGTGCGTCTACACGTAGACTTTCATTGTCTACTTTACGTGTAGATAATGTAGACAATGTAGACAACGTGTCAACAATGTAAAATAACATAAATTAGGCAATTCAAACCACGTGACATTCAAGATGGCGTGGCGGCCACATATGGGCCAAAAAAATATATAATTCCTGCGCGATTTAATAATTTAGGCTCCTAGTCAACAAATATTTTATTAATTAATCAAAATCAAATTTGCAAGCAAAACTCTAAGCAAAATAATTTAAAATACGCATGAAAACATATTCAAAACAAACTTGCTTGGCCGCCACGCCATATTGAATTTTCCTTTTTGACAGATGGATTGAATTGCCTAATTAGGCAATTCAAACCACGTGACATTCAAGATGGCGTGGCGGCCACACATGGGCCAAAAAAAACAAAAAAATATCTAGTTTCTGCCCGAATTAATAGTTTAGGTAACTAGTCAACAAATATTTTATTAAATATTGAAAATCAAAGTTTTAAGCAAAACTGTATGCGAAATAATTTAAAATACGCATAAAAACATAATCAAAACAAACTTGCTTGGCCGCCACGCCACATTGAATTTTCCTTTTTGACAGATGGATTGAATTGCCTAATGACGTTTAATCCTAACCTCACACTTTCTTTTTTTTTTAATATTTTTATTTTATTATTGGTTTTTCTGATATTCTATAATCAGTGAATGCTAATATCGAAGTAATAGTGATAGTATAGTAAGTTTTGATTTTTTTTTTCGAATTTTTCAAAATAAGTTATTGTTTACGCCGCATGTAGACAATGTGTACACAAATGCTCACGTAAACAATTCGAATTGTCTACGCGTAGACAATCAATTGTTTACGTTGACATTGTCTACAGGCACATCACTGATGACCAGTCTGTCTCAATGGACTATAGGGGCTTTGACTATAGGCAAAAACTGGAATGCGCACACATTGCCATATCTGCCAAAAAAATGAAGCCATGAAAGACAGATGCCACAAGGGGGAATGTTGTTCTTTTCTGTTGCTCGCTGACATATGACGTTTTGGAAAGTTTTGTCATATTTACCTTCACAAATTTCATCAATGGGAATACGTGTTGGAAGCAATTTCCGCCATTTAACGTTATGAGTGCGACAAGAACAGGTATCCCCTCCGCAGCAGCCGCACTAGGCTTCACGTTCGTCAATATGCGTACGCATTCCAGTTTTTGGTTATAGTTCATTACTTCATTGGTCTGTCTAGTTCATAGAAAATCGGAATGACTGTCTCATATTGCTGGCAGCAGATTAATTTTGAATAATATGAAAAAAAACTAGGGTGTCAACTACTGTCAGGCGATGACAGCAGGTAATGCTGGGCTGTGACTCTGTAATGGTTAGAAGACCGCTGTCCCGCTTTATATATATGACACTGGATGTCTTCTTCTCTCTTGTCGAAATCAATAGAGACGGGACGTCAATGGGGATAGAGAAGTAAAAAATCGTGTTAAAGTTGCGTTATATCTCTATTCGTTATTGACTTAAAGTCTCAGCCCTGATTTTCTGCTACAGCCAATGAACTATAACACCAGCCTCACTATAACCAAAAACTGGAATGCTAACACATAAGGGGCGCGTTTGGGTTGACGATTGGTGCACTCAGAGCGTGCACTTTTGTCTCTCTTCCGTTATTTTTGAAGCTCCGACAACGCTTGATTGTGTTTGGTTTGACATATTTTGAGCGCTCCGAGCGAGCTCGATAAACTCCGTGTTTGTGGAGTGGGCAGCTAGAGCGTGCATGCGCAGATCAAATGTGTTTACTTTTAATTGAATTTTCTCGGTAGTCATCATTACTGGCATTATTGAACGTATTTTTCCAAGGGAACTTGGCAGCCTCAGAGTGTTTAGGTCCATTTTATTGTTTATGTAGCACGATATTTTTAGCAGAACACAAAAGAAAATGGGGCTGTTTGAAAATTATCGACTAAAATAAAAAAATAAACGAGAAAACTCTGGTGCGAATGCGGAGTGCGGGCTCGGACTCCAAAAAATATATCCTAAAAAAATAAACAATAATCAGCTGATCGCTCAACTCAGCACTTTTGCACGAGTTTATTTGGCTTGACACGGTGTACCCCCTATGACGTCACGTTACTCCGTAATCGCTCTGCTCGCTCCGCCGAGCGTCAACCCAAACACGCCCAAGGACGAACTTGAAGCCTAGTGCGGCTGCTGCGGAGGGGATACCTATTTTTGTTAAATGGCGAAAATTGCTTCCAACACGTATTCCAATTGATGAAACCTGTGAAGGGAAATATGACAAAACTTTCGAAAACGTCATATGTCAGCGAGCAACAGAAAAAAACAACATTCCCCCTTGTGGCATCTGTCTTTCATGGCTTCATTTTTTTGGCAGATATGGCAATGTATGCGCATTCCAGTTTTTAGCTATAGTTCATTAACTACAGCAGAGGCGAGTTCAGAAATGACATACCCAGTGTGATGTTGTATTCCTTTCACACCTAGAAGGAGCTCCGGAACAGCTCCAGGGCTTCACGCATCTATTCCTTTCGAAAAGTGTTTGTTGCCCCACGCATCTGTTCCCTGTAAATCAGGGGCGACTGAACACCGAAGCGAGTAGCTCGAGTGTTTCAAACTCTTGCTTAAATTTTAATCAAACCATTTTTTCAAAAGTTTTACGTGTAATTTATAAACTTAAAGAGTATTGAACTGTTTTCTCGCGTCCACTTTTTTGACATTCAAAACAGGTTTGAAACGGGCAATGGTGGTTAGTGGTTACCACCATTGCCCGTTTCAAACTCGACGCGAGAAAACGGCGGCTTTGGTGTTCAATGATGGCGATAAAATTATGAATTTGACAAGTTACATTGACATTTACCTGAGAAATCTGCGAGATCATGGACCATCGTTGTGGTTCCACTGGTTCCGGCAAGATGGCGTTCCAGTTTCACGATTCTACAGTGACTTAATACATCTTCACAAACAGTGGCGACAATAGAGGTCTTGCCGCCATTTTGTGCCCCACTTATTGCTAATTTTAAAGATGAATATATAGGATTTAAATGGACATCTATCATAAAAAATAGAAAACAACGTATTTGATGACTATTATTGTATATCTAATACGTTATTTTCAATTTTATATGATGAATGTCCATTTGAATCCTATGTATTATATTCATTTAAAATTAGCAAGAGGTAGGGACAAAATGGCTGCGTTTTCCATATGAATAAGGATTTTTAAAGAACCTATCAAAAATAAGATAGCAATTGTCGGCACTGTGGTTTAATAGAGTCAACGATTCTACAACAGTTACTTAATAATCCTTCACAAACAGTGGCGACATTACAAGTCCCGCCGCCATTTTGTGGCTTATTACTTCTTGCTAATTTTAAATATGAATATATGTATAGGATTTAAATGGACATCTATCATAAAAAATTGGAAACAACGTATTTGATGACTATTGTTAGGTAGGTACATCAAATACGTTGTTTTCAATTTTCCATGATGAATGTCCATTTGTATATTCCGCATATTTAAAATTAGCAAGAGCAAGAGGTAAGCAAGAATAATATGGCGGCGTTTCCAATATGAATATATAGGATTTTAAGATTCCAGCCCATCGAGGCGAGAAACTTCAAAATTGTAATATACAGGGTGTCCCAGCCGATCGAGAGTGACCCATTTCAAATGCTTATAACTTTTAAACCAGGTGTGCTAGCTACCTGCGGTATGCGACGTCGACTTCTTTTTTTTAGTTTTTTTTAGTTAGTTGCAAATTTTTTTGATATTTATACAAGGCCAGTAAAAAAAATGCTGTTTTTCAACATCGAAAATCTCCACTAATTTTAATGGAATACCCTGTATATCATAACGTCAAAAAATAGAATCATGTTCAAGGTATCCATGTACTCTTACTAATAAACATCGTCCTTGAAACAAGTTTTAGCCGTGAAAAATTATACTCGAAATCCTGGTATTTTTGCAAACGCATTTTTTATTAGCATATTTCAAAGCTTCGAAATTATGTTTGTCTAATAGAAAGGTAATAAAAACTGCATAAAACTATAAAAATTGCTGTATATATTTGGCCATTCTGCTCCACGCATTTATTAGTCGGATCAGTAAATGGGTGAAGGAATTGTGTAACATTTCCTGGGGAATCGCTTCAATAACATTACGAATATTCCGCTCAAGATATTCCAGGCTATTTGGCAAAGGATTATTGCATCGGTCCTTGACATAACCCCAGAGAAGAAAGTCTGGTGTCTGTCAAGTCAGGAGAGTAAGGTACCCATTCTATATAGAACCAGCTCTTCCTATCCATCTTTCCCCAAATGTCATATCTACTGATTCTCTTGATACTAAAAAATAATGAGGTGGGACACCATCCTGCTGAAAATAGATCCCATCGAAGATAGAAAGATATACCTTCCAACATGTATAGTTGAATGCGTTTGCAAAAATATCAGGATTTCGATTTCAATTTTTCACGGCTAAAACATTAAGTTCAAAGGACGATATTTATTGGTACATGGATATCTTGAACATGACTCTTTTCTTTGACGTCGTGATATACAGGGTGTTCCATTTAAAATGATGGGGAATTTCGATGTTAAGAAACAGCATTTTTTTTACTAGCCCTGTATAAGTATCAGGAAAATTTGAAACTAACCAAAGAAAACTTTAGGTCAAGAGAATTCGGCTGGGACACCCTGTATTGTTGATAGCTCAATTTAATTCAATAATACGCATCGACAAAAGTCTTGATCATTCTACAAATTTCAAGACTCCGACGTGAAAAGAAAAAAGTGTAGGTAATACAAACAAATTATCGACTATCCCCCGTAGTGAACTCTCCCAGGTACCTAATTTGACTGGAGAAAATATTTTCGAATGTGCTTAAGGGTTGAGTCTCCTTCTCAAATTCCAAAAAATCCCTACAAACCATCATCAATTTCTCATGAATTTTTAAGCAAATTATCGACTTCCCCCCGTAGTGACTCTCCAAGACCTAACTTGACAGGAGAAAATATTCTCGAATGTGCTTATATATCAGGGTTGAGTCTATCCTTCTCAAATTCCAAAAAGTCCCTACAAATCATCAATAATATTTCACGAATTTTTAAACAAATTATCGACTTCCCCCCGTAGTGACTCTCCAAGGCCTAGGTACCTTGACAGGAGAAAAATATTCTCGAATGTGCTTAAGGATTGAGTCTATCCGTCTCCAATTCCAAAAAATCCCTAGAAAGCAACTTCAATTTTACCCGAATTTTCAAACAAATTATCGGCTTCCCCCGTAGTGTCTCTTTACTCTCTTTCAGACTCTGACTTGACTGGAGAAATTATTCTCGAATGTACTTAGGGGTTAAGTCTATCATCCTCAATTCCAGAAAATCCCTACAAAGCATCATACATTATTCACGAATTTTCAAACTATCGACTTTCCTCCGGAGTGACTCTCCCAGACCAGATCTAACTTGACTGGATAAAATATGGGTTATTTCTATACCTTTTCCGAATTCCAGAAATTCCCTGCATAATCGGTATAGGTATATATTGAATTTTAAAATGAGAAAGAAATTGTGTGACACCTTTATCTATCATGTTTATTTATAGTTAGGTGTTATATTGTTTAGACAGACACTTTAAGCAGGTCCTAAATTTCAAACGTATCCGTATCTGCATCGATCTGCGCATGCGCAGAATAGATACGGTGGTTTCTTTGCGTTCCGTTGTCCGCATCCTTAAGCTTAATTCTCACTTGAGCGAAATTCGCTATTTTTTGACATTGCTTCGAAAATTTGACGTTTGATACACGCATAAAACGTCAACTTGTCGAAGCAATGTCAAAAAAGAGCGAATTTCGCATAAGTGAGAATGAGGCATTACGGGCCTAGCCTCATATCCGTATCCTAAAACGTATCTCAATCATTATAGACACTATTTAGAGATCTTCCTCTCAGTTATCACTGAAATAACTTTAACAATATAGACACAGTAGGTACTTACCTACTTAAAGATAAAAAGAAAACATACAAACACAGCTACAAAATCAACACACACTTTTTGAGGTAAGAAAACGCTTCATCCAAGGATACGGAGTCTTAGGAGGTCAACGTGAGTCGATGCGGATACGCATACATGGAAAAATTTTGGGTTTGCTCAAAGTCCCTTTCTAGATGTTGTAACAAGAAAGAGAGTGCAGTGTGTATAGAACACGTCATGTTGTAGATTTGTCTTTGGTCTAAGGAAGTATGATTCGGTGTCAAACAATATTATGCTGGGCTGGGCTGAGATGTGATGATATGTACAAACTGCATTCTATGACATTTTTCAGGAAATTGTTAGACACTAGACTACCGGTCTACATTTACCAAAAGTTGGAGCTTAGGGCTAATGTATACCTACATAACGTTAAATTAAGAAATCAAGATTGCATTACAATACCAAGGCACAGACAAACAGTTTACAAATATCAACAGAATACGTTGGCTAAACTCTTGGTTCTGCTGATCGATTCGACTTTCAAAAAATTCAAAATGATAGAACTTCACCCTCTGGAATGTCATGTCCCCACACAAAAGACAAATGCTGTTTTCTCTCAGTTCAAAACAGGTTTGAAACAGTACCTATATTCTCGTGATGAACCCATGACGTCACATCAGAACTGATTCAAACCTTTTCGAAATACAATCCAATCTACGTTTTAAAACCATTTTCTCGCGCCCATAAGTTATGACGTCATGTGACACTGTTTTAAACCAGTTTTGAAAAACGTTTTAAAACATTCGAGGCTCGAGAAAACACCTAAGGTGTTGAAAATTATAAACACTAAACACTCTCAATTTATACTCGCGAAAATAGCGACCGTTGTTTGAACATGCCAAGCAACACTTTTTATGTCATAATGCAAGGAAGTATATTTCGACAAATGTAATGTATGGTATTTGCATTCGATTAATAAAGCCGATATCTATTTATTTATTTATTTATTTATTTATTTATTAAATATAAGGTCTGTTCCAATAGGTCAAAAAACCGTCCCATGAACGGTTTAGAAACCACTCAGTAGAGGTATACGAATATTGGATTCTACTCACAAATTTTAGGTTTTACGCAGAATCGTGACGGTACATTGTACAGTTTCCTGCTGTACATTACATAACATCAGCCACATTTCTAACAAACATTTTTACCTGCTCAACTAAACTCAAAAAAAAAAGAGGCAGGTGGCCCTTTGCCAGGCTTGCTTTCATAAATCGACATTATTAACCAACCTCAGTTAGAGCAGATGTTACGTTATATTTCTATACAGGGATAAGAAAAGGAGAATTCCTTTCAGGTAAAAAGGAATGAAGAATATAAAATATAAAAGTAGTCAGTAGCGTGTCAAATTTTTTTGGAGCCCCCCCGCGAACTTTTTTTTGAGGCCCCCTATTTCACTATTATATTTTCCAAAAATAACCCATTATAGTAAATATTTATACACAATATCATTATCTAATAGTTAAAAAACACAGCGAATTTTTGAAACTAAATTTATTTCTATAAATTATGGAATATATGTTATTATAGTAATATAGGAGGGATGATTGAAAAGTTCTGGAGAATATTGGGCCTGATTCGAGACTTGACTCTTGATGATCTGAATCTTCGTTTTCGAGAATATTTGCACCTTCAATGTCTGGTAGGATAGTTTCATCATCATACACTTCTTTTTTTGATGATGAGGTTGCGGATGTTGACGGCGTTTCAGAAGTTGATATAACTTTTTTTTGAAAAAACATCAATTTTGGCAATCTTCTTCTTCTCCTCCTCCTTTTTTTGAACTAGTTTTCTTTTTTGAGCCCCACTCAGATATTTGCGCGGACTACTCATTTTAATATTCACAATTCAACTCAAAACTCAAACATAACAAGTGAAACAACAAAGACTCGCTAATAACCGGAAATTCCCATTAGTTGTATTCCTTTCACACCTAGGAGGAGCTCCGGAACAGCTCCGGGGCTTCACGCGCTTATTCCTTTCGAAAAGTGTTTGTTGCACCACGCATATGTTCCCTGCAAATCGGGGGCGACTAGCATCGAAGCGAGTAGCTCGAGTGTTTCAAGCTCTTGAAAGGAATACAACTATTAAAACGGGGAATAACCTACGGGAATCACTGAGGTTTCGACCAGCCAGGGTTGACAATTGTTTGGGTGTTCACATTTTTTATGTTCGAAAGAAATGGTGACAAATTAAATATGGATTTGAATTGTTTAAATGTGCATATTTGTATTTTTGGAGTTTGTTTGATATACATAGGTATTAGAGTATATTGGGGGCTTGGGGGCCCCCAATATACCGGTGGCCCCCCCGCGTGGCGTGGTCTGCGGGGCCGTTTGTCACGCGCCTGAAAGTAGTTCCAAATCAATTGTCATGGAAATACCCATGTCACAGCCTCCTACATGTGCATTTCATTTAAATTTACCGCTTCTTTTGGGTGACTGTTGCGGATTTGGAGGTTGCGCCCTCTATTTCCTGACCGCTGGTTGCTGTCTATTTTCTTGTCCTTGTCTATTTCTATTTTGTTCTGTGCTTGCCGGCAGTGCTTACGGGGTGCATTTCGTCCCGAAAGATTGAAAATTCAGCAAAAAAAGGCGAAAAATCCAGTAAGTTCTATTTTATCGTATATCCAAGTAGTGTTAGTTTAACTGTAGTTCCTTTTTGTGAAGGGTGGATGTGTGCAAATGAAATAATTTCAGTAAAATAGCACAGGCATGCCGCCATTTTTGCGTAGTGAGCATGACAAGTAGCAAACAGGCAAACGAGTCGAGGCCCGCCCGATCGATCCTACCCGTAGTCGTAGTGTAGCCAGTGTAGGTAGTTGCGTTTTGGTCCTCGTGGTATATGCTAGCGTGAGTGTACTTTGGGCATCGGCTGCCAGAAAAAAAACCTGTTTTAATAGCTGAAACTGAGTTGTAAGTGCTGTTTTTAGATTGTTCTTAATTTGTAGCTACAAAAAATGTGTCTATTTATTCCGTAATTGATGTTTTTCGGGTCAAGTTAATGTTGTTCGAGCGATATAGCTGGGATTGGCTGACCTTCAGAAATTCCTTAAATTAGTATAGAATTCGAATAGCGTTCACCCTGCTTTAGAACGCTACATTATATCTTTGTTTTTTTTTTTTTTAATAATTTGGTTTCATTAATTCGGTATAATAAATTGCGTTGTGGGAATGACGTCGATTGTCAATCCACGAAATTCCTCTAGGATGGGTCACACTGAGCATGATCGGGCTGATCCCGCCTCTCTAGCCAAGGTGTGGTCGGGTCAGCGCCATTTTGAATTGTTTTCTGCATCTGCTCTGCTTGTGTTCCTGCTGCTGGTGCTTGGCTTTCTTTCTCCTTTCTCATATTAATCATATCGCCGCGACGTCGACTCTCAGTCATATTCTATTTTTATCAGTGCTCCATCAACGGTTAGTTTTCACGTTCGACTTTTTTGCAGATTAGAGTTAGACCAACATGTCCACTCCCGATAAAGATGAACTAGTCCAGAGGGCCAAATTGGCCGAACAAGCCGAAAGGTACGATGACATGGCTTCAGCCATGAAGTCGGTCACAGAAACCGGCGTGGAATTAAGCAACGAGGAACGAAACTTGCTCTCTGTAGCATACAAAAATGTGGTGGGTGCCCGACGATCCTCGTGGAGGGTTATTTCTTCAATTGAACAAAAGACTGAAGGTTCTGAACGCAAACAACAAATGGCCAAGGAATACAGAGAGAAGGTGGAAAAAGAACTGAGAGAAATCTGTGACGATGTGCTTGTGAGTATTTGGAAACTTTTTCAGCAACTAAGGCACCCTTGATGTGTCAATCTGTAATAATTTATACTTATGCAAGGGCAAGGCTTTAAATCTGTAAGAGAATGAGAATTATACAGGTTACAAGTATTTGATTTGACTTAACTTAAATCACATCAATTTAAATGGCTGTATTATTCGTTATGCAAATAACACATGGTTTAACTATTTTTCATGATAACATTTTTATCTCATCTCATCATTTAACAGGTTCGCGGACAATTTCTAAAAGTATGTTGTGCTTAGAATGTCAATTTTTGTATTCCCATGTTTGGTGTGGTATTTGCCGTGAACTGGACAATTTTGAGGTGAATAGACACTGTGGCAGGACTAATAAATTGAAAATACATGTAGCTATATGGGATCAAAGACGGCTAGAGCCGTTATTTGTTTATAGAAGAAAATTGGGGTGACTGCTATAGACGTCATGTCCCAAGCAAGGGAGTTAATTGACGTATTAGTTGCCTTTTGGAAAATTTAAAAATTATGAATTTCCTATATTAATTTTTTGCCACAAATATTTCTGAATTGAATTGCAAACCTCATTTTTATTATTGGAATTTTCCATTACCTAGCACATATTATTTTAATCTTTAAAATGTGGGCAGATAACATGCTTTGTTGCCAAGTTTCATTCAACGTGAATTATTATTAAATTATTTTTTACCAATTCATTTAATAATACTTATTTATCAAGCCAATTGAATAATCTTTACTGTGATTGTGGAAAACAGTTTGTTTTTCAGATTCGAATGACTGCATTTGCAAAACTGCATACATAAAATATAAATTATTATTTGCTTTTGTGAATCTTAATATAGTTCTGATAATCGGTTAAGGTTGATTATTCATAAAATACATACTTGTGCAATATGTTCATGTTAAGGGCTTATGGCCCTTCTGAAATCCTTATTTTTTAGCCAGTATGAATTAATTTTTTATTGGGTAATTTTTGAAAATGACTACTCTGTTTATTCAATTATTATAGTAGGTCTGGTCCATAAGTTTCAGCCTGAACTGCCTTTATTGCGGGGATTGACATACAGGGTGAATCTGAAAGTGAGGGTTTTTTTTTAACAGGCTATATATCTCGCCAAAACAAGTTGGTCTCATTATGCTGGACTAATAAAGGCTTTTTTTGAGAAAATGTAAACAAAACGTTTTATAGTTGCAGTCTTCAAACCTTAAAATACCTGTACCTCCCTTATCTTCATCACTTTCAGATTCACCCTACTAATTGTTATATCAGCTAAACTGCCCCTTTTCAAGTATGTATATCAATATTTAGCCCATACACAAACAATTTCAAATCATGATCATCACTAAGGCAAACAAAAATTGTTGCGTATTGTTTAATCTAGGCATTAATTATGTTAGTACACTCACACACACACACCCTAAAATATTCCACTTGATATTCCAGATATCCAACTTAAAAAAAAAAACTAAAAGTGCAAAATTTAGAAAAATTAGGTTTTTGCAAGTTGTGATGCACAAACAGACTAATATTCACACTTTACAAAAAATGGGAAAATATCAAAAGCATTTAATCAGCGGATAATCAATTGGGTAATGGCTGAATTTAAGCTATTTTTAATTTTTTTGTTTTCCACTGTAATTTCTTTATTTTAAATCTATGCTAGAAATTACAAAAAAAAAACAATTATTTATTTTGCAAAATTTGTAGTCAAAATAAAATGATAATATTCTTATAATGAATTAAAACACTGTTTTTTTTTTTTTAAGTTATTTATTAGGTACCAACCTTTAGGCCCGGTTTATTCTTCAGATGGTTACTGGTAACTGTCTACAAGATAAATTTACCATTATCTAATTTTATTGGTCAGCGGATAAGTGGCCAATCAATAAGATTATGGATTACGTTCTCATCCGTCAGATTGCATTACCTGACAGTTTATCAGAAGGTGAATAAACCAGGCCTTAGACAGTTAACTGATATCAGGGCCTAATGCTCATTTTTTTTATATTTGTTTAATAAAATTTTGGAAAAGTCATGTCAACTTACACTAATTAATAATTATTATTACATTGCACTCATTTAACATTATTCAGATACTTTTAGTTGGTAATAATTAATTGTTAGTTATATATTCAGGTTTTCTTTTAAATTTTTCTCAAGGTAATTTAACATTATGTGAGCATTTCTTGAACAAACTACAAACTAGTTACATACTCATACAATTTATGTCTGTCTAATTTGATTATATTTAAATTACTTTTCATCCATTCATTTGTTATATTGACAGATACTTCTATTAATTGGTGAGTCTTGTGCTTTTTTCTTCTTGCATAGTCACATCTGGAGCCCGATTCTCCTCTCAGGAAGTAAAGCTCCCCGAGAGAACAAATTTTTTGTCTTTATCATTCTCGTTTACTATTCGATTAGGTTGACGAGGACAAAACATTCGTTCTAACAGGGAGCTCTACTTTTTTTTTTTCATTATAATAATAGTAATGGTTTATTTTGCAAATACAAAAAGTTTACAAAATTGGGGTTTTTAAAATTTCAGAGAAATTGGTTGACCACAGTGTCAATTGGAAGCATCACCAAAAACAAGTTTGGTAGTATATGATGGTAATGATTTTTTTAGAAATTACAATATGGTTTCTAAAAATTGGTGACTTGAAGCTCTTACATCTGCCCGTAACTGATTATAATTGTTTGCTGCGTTCTAGGCAAAACTGTTCTTAAACAGTTCCCCTCCATCCTTTTGTACAATTGTACAAATATCTGGATTCTTTAAATAAAATTAGCTTATGTATGAAAATGCAAATATTTCTATGTGAAATTTATAGTGCAAAACAAACACAAGAGTTCTGAATTTTTTGTAACCGCCTTGCATCTTCAGCAGGGAACCAAGGACCATATACAGTGCCACAACTGCCACAGTACTTGTTTCGCATAGTTTAGTTTTTTGTCCATGATGAGAGCCAAATTATTAACATACACTCACTAAGTGTTATAACTTTGCCTTTCAAACTAAGATGACCAGATAAGATATCTTTCACGTTCTTTCCACCTTGAAACACAATGACATCAGTTTTATCCACATTAACCTTGAGACAGTTCATACTTGTCCGATGGATTGAACTTTGTAAATCTTTGTCGGTTAAACTTGCCTTGTTGATATCTTGAAAGTTGAAATCATACATAAGTTATGTCATCTGCGTAACAATGAACTCTACAAATACTTTCTGCTGCCTATCGCTGAACAAATTGAATAGCAAAGGGCCCAAAATAGAACCGTGTGGGATGCCCTTCTGCACAACCAAGTGCACAACCAAATGTTGAAAAAGCACTGTACCAGATTTGCTCCTCAATAGGTTTCTTTCATGAATTTTTTTTATTTGCTTATTGGAAAGAGGAGTCGGAATTAAGCTCTACTACATATATTTTTTCTGATTTTTTTCAGACTTGCAAAGGCTCTTAATTTCGATTTGAAGTTCAAATTTCTTGGTCCCGTGACAACACGGCACCAAATTTCTGATTGGTCAGTTTTATCCAGTGTTATGGATTTCATGTAAACTTTTCCTGGCAGGGACAACTGAATCAATATATCGAATTCACAGATTCCCCTCGTTTTTATTTCAATCGGTTGTAATCGGTGACTTTATCGATGAGTTAGCTATCTCCGTTTAGTGAATGGAAAATGACAATGACCGACATAGAATGGTGGATCCATCAGTAAAATTTGATGAGATTAAAAACGCAGGGATTTCTAAGTATCGGACTTTGGAGTCCATTCTCATCCTATGAAAAACTTAACTCAACTTTTTCAATCTATTTATTTTTATTAGCCTGTCCAAAGCAGGCAGAAGGCACACAAACTATCAAGAAACAAACCATAATAACCCCTAACCCCATAAGGCCATTACCAAAATATTCATAATTAAATACTTATTTTCTATTGTGTGCCTCTAATTTTTAGAAGTTTCTTCCCAATAAGGGAATCATTGTTTGGGGAAGGTTGCTCTACCTGCATTTACTTAAATACCTACCTACCCTTTCATTGCCTTCTTTTGATCGTGACAATTTTTATTTGTTTCCACTCTATGGTCTAGTGTTGTGCTGTGAGTTTTAATTTTACATCTTTAATTTCGGCACTGAAATAGTCGGCATTGGAAATCATAAATTCCGAAAGCATTTCCATGCTCACATCTGGCCAATTTATTGCCAGCATTAACAACAAAAAACAGCAGGTTAGCCTGATTGTTTATTTTGTTTGTGATGGAGAAAGGGTTTGTAAAAGCCGATTCCGGAAATTGGCCAGAGGTAACTGACCTTGGCCTTGACCTAATGGTAAATACGAATCATGAAAATTAAAAAAACATTTCATCGTTTTTCTACTTTTACAGGACAGGTATGGATCTCTTTGTCTAATTAGGTGTCGTTCTTCTTTCATGTCAAAAAGTAGGGCTGACCAAAGTGAAATATGGTGCTATTTTTTTCTTTAATTTTCTGGCTTCAAGATTTTAAAGAAAATTAACCAACCATATTTTTATGTAGTATAACAAATACACTATCGTTCCAGAAAAATTAAATACCTAATTGCGATTGAGTGCAAGAGGTCTATTCTTGTTCATTACAGCTGTAACATTTTCCAGGAAATCCATGATTGCCTTTTCAAAGCTATACTGCGGAGTGCAGCAGTCCTGAGGGTATGCCTAGGATGTATCTTCAATCTCTGTATAGCTTGTCATTTTTAGTGCCATGTCCTCTTGTTAGTGGTGCTTGGCCTTGTCCTAATCTGTGTCAGACCGGCTTGACTTCACCTTTTATAAGAACATGGAGTGGAGGTATATTGAGCAGTACCTCCATCGCTGCGGTTGGTGTTGTTGTGCTCATAGCTTTGGGCTGGGATTCTGTAACGAATAGAGATATTTTCGCTATCTCTATTGACATCCCTTCTCTATTGATTTCGAAAAGAGAGAAGAAGACAGCAAGTGCCATAGCGATAACGATCTATATCCATTACAGAATCCCGCCCCTGGTAACATAGAGACAGAGGCTAGTATCTATAGTCCATTAAGCCTTCTCCTCGCCTCTACTGGCCTAGGTTTTGTTCACCAAGTGATTGCTCCATATGTTATTATGTGTCTAACCACCCTTGTGTACAGGGTCTTTCCCCATATATTGACCCCCCCTACTACAGGGGTTATATGGAGAGATATCAAAAAATTGTAAATACAAAAGTTTTGGGGTTTTTCGTGAAATTTTCGAATCCGATGTCAAACACTTTTTTGTGTTTTTAGAAATGTCAAATTTTGACAGATGGTCAGTTTTTTCTTATGAAACGCCCTGTTTTGACATTTCTGAAAACACAAAAAAGTTTTTGACATCGGATTAAAAAATTTCAGGTAAAACCTCAAAACTTTTGTATTTAAATTTTTTTGATATTTCTTCACATAACCCCTGTAGTTGGGGGGTCAATATATGGGGAAAGACCCTGTACAACCCTTGGTACAACCATAGTGTTTTTTTGGGTTCAGTCCCCAGTTTTTCCTGGAGATTCTTCTACATATACCTAGAGCCCTTGTGGCTTTTAACACCACTTTTTGGATGTGCCAGTTCCCATAATGATGTTGATCGAAAGTTTCACAAAGTCCGATTTTCATTTATTTATTTCAAAAATTTTTGTAAATTTATCAAGCACTAGTTTTTAAATTATATAAAACAATGCACAGATGCAATTCCAAGTACTGTTACTATAAACATTGTTATAACTGATTTTCAATTTTCCAAAAACACTAATTTTCATGCTTTCTCTTTCTCCACTCATAATCTATTTATAAATTGGAGTGAACAACTCCAAATTTAGAAAATACCCTTTCTACTGTAGCTGATGAAGAGATGGCACATAAAAGCTGCTTCACTATAAAAAGAAGTTTCTCAACTTCAGGAATATTTTTTTACAGGGCAGAGAATGAAAAAACTACCATGTCTGTCAAAACAGCTGCCTCTTATTTTTTGCAAATACCTAAAATGCTCCAAGTGCTCAACATTAAAAAAAAAAAAAAAATTGTTTTCAATGTTATTTATTTGAATTAAAATGTTTTATATTTTTAAATCATCAAGTATTCCTGTGTCTACCTACAGGTAGGTTTCTAAAGTGATCCCACATAGAAATTTGTTTTTAGATTTTTGTAAATAAAAAATCCCCAATATTACTTTTCATTTCTAAATAAACTAGTCCATAATAGAAAATTAAAATGAACCAAAATCAATTCAACTTTACACTGAGCCAGTATTTGTGTCATTCTCTACTATCATGAATAAGAAAGATATTTTACACCCATTTTTCCAATGGATTTTGCTATCAATGGTGTCATATCTATGATGGCAAATTAATTTATTTTAGCGACAATACTTAAGGTATTTTTCTAGACAGAAAAAATAGCTTTCGATAAAAAAAAATGAACAGAGTAAATTGTTGAAACATTGACATTCTCTTGTGCCAAAATTGTCATTATGCTCACAGGATACATTAAAGTTGGTGGAAATATTTCTATTTTATTTTGCAATTCAAATGATGCTGTTTTAATTTCTTTGTAATGATTATATCTTTCTGATTAGTAGTTAAGTGTTAAAATTTGCCATTGAAGTATGCAGCGTTAAGTGAATTGTATTAGCATGTTTTTACAAATCTAGATATCAAATCAAATGAAAATATGCTGTATTGTCATAAAATCAGGTTTTGTTGACAAAGCTACGACTACATTCAATTTAGGTAGGTAAACTAGGCCTAGTAAGTACAGGGTTATTGGTTATAAATGTCACCCCCCTTTATATTTTTTATTCGACATTTTAGAAAAAAGTGTCCCAAATAAAAGTTTTATGGTTGAAATTAATTTTTTTGAAAAACTCATTTTTGCATATACAGGGTGTTTCAGAAAAGCTGGTCGTGCTCCAACTTTCTTATTTTAAATAGAATACCCTGTATATTATTGGATATTCGGATTCTACATAAAATTCTGAGTAGATTTTATTCGATATACCCTATACCTAAGTTCAACTGTTTTGGAAATATTGACAGTTGAAATTTGACTTTTTTGCAACTTTGACAGGCTGTAAAACCTAAACGGTTAATTTTAGAGCAAAAACGATCTTAAATTTTTTTCTTAGATTTTCATAAGCTACGATTTGACACTAACTTTAAATTTAACCAAAGATTAAATTTAATCGGAATTTTGAATCATGGATTAAATTCGAAGTTGGTATGTCAAATATCAGTGTCAACTGATAGTTTATGAAAATCTAAGACAAAATTGTAAGATCGGTTTTGCTCTAAAATTAACCGTTTAGGTTTTACAGCCTGTCAAAGTTGCAAAAAAGCCAATTTTCAACTGTCAATATTTCCAAAACAGATGAACTTAGGTATAGGGTATATCACATGAAATCTGTTCAGAATTTTATGTAGAATCCGAATATTCAATAATATACAGGGTATTCTATTTAAAATAAGAAAGTTGGAGCACGATTAGCTTTTCTGAAACACCCTGTATATGAGAAAGTGAGTTTTTCAAAAAAATTAATTTCAACCATAAAACTATTATTTGAGACACTTTTTTCTAAAATGTCAAATAAAAAAGATAGAGGGGGGTGACATTTATAACCAATAACCCTGTACATGTCTAATTTATATTTCAGATCACTATCATTTCTCATGGGTGAAACTCCATACTGTTGCACATTGGGTTATAAATGTGGGTTAATGGAAAATTTACTTCATGGACATGGACTTGACCTTCGATATTTTATGTAGAATATTGAATATTTACTGCTGTATATTATTTATTTATATGTATTTGAATTGTGATATCACCAGTCTACTGGTAATACTGGCAATTTCCAATTACAAATTATATAAAAAGCTTAAAATAACACAAATAAATTTAAATGCAAACAAAAACAATACAGTAATTGTGTGGAACTAAACTAGACTTAAATTACAATCTCCAACACTGAAAGAAAAATACAAAGTACTACTAAATGAATTGGCATTTTCAAACTTTGTATCTGTATCTATAATATGTATGAATAACCTAATAACAGACCTTTTTTGGTCTACATGATAAAAATAGGTTTGCTTATTAGTTTTTTTTTTATCTGAGCAAGTATTTAGCCAAGTGTGTGGCACAGGTCATTTTCTTTAACAATTCGAATGTCAAAACTGTGACTAACGTTTTGCTTTGTTTTGGTGTTAATTTTCCAATTTTTCAATTTGCCTTCAGGATTATTTCAAGTAAAATTCTAGTTTAGTGGTGATTTTTTTTGAAATACAGTGAGCGATGAGGACAGTTCTTGCCCAGCTCTCCAGGGCAGGTTTTTCTTGCATCAAATGCTAAACTCGTAAAGGGTTTCGTATAACGGCGCTCTCTAATGAAAATTCCTCAAACCAGAACGTTCAAATATTTCCAAATTCAGAATTCAAATTTAATTTGAAACCGTTTAAACTAAAATAAGTATTTTAATACAAATATTTGTATTTTTGTAAGTTTAAAGTCTTGTTGCTTGCAGTTTCTTAAATCATAAAATATACACATGATGTTTAATATAACTTTCGTTCTTCTGAGAATTTTTGAAGACAAACTTACTACTGATAAGTTTTAAAACATCACTTTTGAAACTTTGTTAATTTATTAAAGCTAATTAAAGGTTTGTTTTTAAAGGGCCTCTTGGACAAATACCTCATCCCAAAAGCATCAAATGCAGAATCAAAAGTCTTCTACCTTAAAATGAAAGGAGATTACTACCGGTATTTAGCTGAAGTAGCTACAGGAGACACCAGAAACAGTAAGTAGGAATTGTGAATAAATTATTTTAGCGTTTGTGCCGAGTCCCGCTAGGACATACAGAGAGTTACCATTTTTGCCTTTTTACAGCTGTCGTGGATTATTCACAGAAGGCGTACCAGGACGCGTTTGAAATATCGAAGGCCAAAATGACGCCCACGCACCCTATCAGGCTGGGTCTTGCACTGAATTTCTCAGTGTTCTACTACGAGATACTAAATTCCCCTGACAAAGCTTGTCAATTAGCCAAACAGGTCATTATTAAAACTACATTGTATTTCTTCAGCGGGCAGAATTACGCGGCGACATCGGCACGGCGCATGCGCGCCTTTGCCCTTAGCAAAAGTTAATGTATTTATTTGTTTTCCTCAGAGGTAGTCGAAGACTCACAAAAAGCTTACCAGGAAGCCTTTGACATTGCCAAGTCGAAAATGCAGTCTACCCACCCCATCCGGCTGGGTCTGGCCCTTAATTTCTCTGTGTTTTACTATGAAATTATCAATTCACCAGCGCGTGCCTGCCACCTGGCTAAACAGGTTTGTCGTGTGTGTCGTGTTTAACGCTAGTTCTGCCCGCCTGCACTAACCCTAATCATGTCTCTCTTTTTTTTATGGTTAAATTTTGACATAATTTTCTTCATAGGCTTTTGATGATGCCATCGCAGAGTTGGACACACTTAATGAAGACTCATACAAAGACAGCACACTTATTATGCAGCTCCTACGAGATAACCTAACATTATGGACCAGCGATACACAGGTTAGCTAATTAGCAAAATATAATCAGCAATAAGTTGCTTATGAAAAATTATTCTTTGTTACAGGGTGAACCAGATGAGCCTCAGGAAGGCGCAGATAACTGAATTGTGGTATTCCCTGTTTTCATTCTATTCGTTAAAAATGAAATTTCATGTAAGTTTACGTCTCCAAGGAACGTAATTGTGAAGTTTTGTTGACAGTTTATAAGTTTCACAGTGATGAAACCTTTGATATTTAACAATGTTTTTAGGAGATATGTAAATCGTTAAATTATATTTCACATTATCACACAACCGGCATAACTTCCACAAAACATTCAAAAAGCCATACCATTTTTAGGGAAAGATTTACAATTATTATTATAATCTTCAGGGATTAATCGTTGTAGAATTTGACAGAAACATTGAGGTAATTCTTCATGGTTAGCCTATATCAGCCATACAGTTACATATGTGCCCCTAGTTGTTTTGTAATAGCTATTTCACCTTACGGAAAGCACGAGTCTGCTGTTGAGTTTGGTGAAGCAGCCAAGTGGGGAAAAAACATTTTCCGCACTAGTTTTTCTACAAACTTGCGGAAATAAGTATTCCTACATAATTTGTAGTAATTTATTATTATTTTTTTTGAACACTGTGAGGGAAAATCGATTTTCGATTTTCCGCACTGTTTAACAGTGCGGAAAATGCATTTTTGCTTTTCATCACTGGTCGAGGTTTTTAGCCTTACCCAGTGGAAACTGCTTGTACTAGCACAATCGCAGCTCCATTTATTTCGGCATTCTTGACTTACAACAATGTTCATTTGATTCAATGTGGTATCCAATAAATTTGGTTATGACTTCTCACAACAAAACTCTTGTTTCCCCTCTGAGAACTTGTGCTCTGAATTTGCCCATGAAAGCGGTAGCATTTTTGATATAAGGGTTAATATAGGCTTCTTCGTATTTGTGAAAAAAACTATGTCTTGTCAAGTGTCTCCAGGGCCGCCTTCAGCTGTATGGCAGCTCAGGCTATCTATGAATAATTCATTTGACTATTAATTTATTTATTTATTTATTTATTAAAGGGTATGGCCCAATCTTTCAAAGAAAATCTATATGGATTAGCTTGTATCATACACAGAATATATTCTAATTAGGTAACTGTTTTTTTAGACAACAAATTACAGTTAGAATTTGAATACTCAGCCAGTCTATGTGACCTTAATATTTTGTCAAATTCTACAAGGGTTAAGAATCCCCAAACACCAACGTAGGAATGGAAACTGAAAATTCAAAGCATATAATATGGATAATCAAGACCAACAATTTTTCAGCTCTGCTCCTGAATTTGCAATGATTGAGACAATTGAGGAAATGATCTGGAAATCAATTAAGCAAAATTCCTATAAAAGTTTGATCATTGCACAGAAATAATTCAGGTTGAAGATATTAAGGGGTTCTGTGAGGGCATGAGAGCGCATAAGAAAGCCAAACTTGATTATGCTTCTTAAATGTTGTGAAGAACAATTTGGGTTATTTGATCTAATAGAAAATTTGCAGGATTCGAAGCCTTCAATCAGGCTACTAGCGGTTTCCGCTCCGTCAGGTATCCAATATCCTAAAAGCCTAATAATTTAATACAAATTACAAAAGAACTAAGGACACATAACCATATAACTGATATAGGCTAACCATCAGGAATCCACCCAGTTTTTTGTCAAATTCTAAAACATTTTTTTGTTGCCAGTTGTGTGATTGAATGTCAATTTCTTCATCTCTTAGTTTATAGTTTTTGTTTTTTTGTATTTAATTATTTTATATTTATATCGTATGTATCCCTCCCCAAAAAAATGTGTAATAATTTTGATTTTTTTCTCCAGCACATTTTTAATTTGTAACTTGTTAACTATTAAATTTAACATCTAAACGATTGTTTTAGTTTTGTTTCTGTTTTTTTTTTTACTTTTCCATAATGTAAGTTGAGTCCTACCATTTCTCCGTTAATCGACTTCACCCGTCTACCCCTATTTTTGGACTCCGTGGCCCCTCTGAACCCTCTGTTCCATTTCTGGTCACTTTGGATGTGCTATATATAAATGTATGAATATGTATTAAACTAAATGCTACCAGCTCTATTTGTTTTCTGTTGTATCTGTCAAGTATAATTGTCAGATAAAAAAATAAATTTTTCAAAATCATTGGCTTGTTTGTTTTCTGGGGGGTGGCCTTTTTCAGGGGTCTGCACCCCATTCCTGCCTTTTCCGTCGCCGCACTAAATGTTGATAATTGTTATACCATAAATGTCTTAGTACAGACAGAATCTCTACCTTTGGCTAAATTATGCTCTTTTCCATTTTAGATGTAAGTTTTACATGGGACTACCAAAAAAATCATATTTACACAAAAACTATAGAACATATGTAATAATTGTGAAATTGGTAATTTAATAATGTTGAGCATTTATTTTGAAGTTGTTATCGATCACCAAAATTTCATTGCTCTCAATTTGCAACCTCTAGAGTACCCTTAAGTTTAAATAATGTAGAAAAATATTATTTTGTTATTTTTTTATAACACTATTATTATATTAAAGAAAATTTTCTTTTATTCTTGATTTTTATTTATGTTACAAGATTAACATTTAAATCCATGAGATCCAATTATCAAGATATTTCATTGGCAAGATAACAATTTGTCAATTTATTTGAACACACACACTACCAAGGTGCAGATGCAGTGTACATTTTTGAAACTGCATTCTGACCTCTATTTTTAATATGCAAATGTAATTTCTACCTAATATTAGTGAGTCTTCTAGAATTATAAAATTTTTATGGGGCAATTTATACTAAATAAATAGTAATAGCCTATATTTTTAAATGCTTACATTGATTGAAACGTAAAGACTTACATAAATAGATAGAAATGTTGAAAAAAAGTTGTATAATGTATAAAAAGAATTTTCCATAAGATTTCTACATAAATATCATGATTAATAATTTTTTGTATGTCAATAATTGCCAAATTTATGTAGAAACCTTATCGAAATTCTTTTTATACTTATACAAATTTCTTTAACATTTCTATCTATTTATGTAAGTCTTTACGATTCAATCAAGGTAAGTATTTAAATCTTTTATATCTATATTTTTAACCTACAAATTGAGACATGATTCTGATACACAGGGCAAAAGCTGAAATATTTCAATTGGATAATTATTTTGATTAAAAAAGATAAAGAAAATAAACTTCAAATTATTTTGCAAATGTTCATTTTCCAGAGATGTTGTTTAATGAAAAGGTTCATAATAGTATATTATATACCTAGGTAGAGAAGTAGGTCATACCGATATACATATACCGAGTGCTTTTGTAACCAGATGCGCGAAGCTCCGGGTTTTATAATGCGCAACATTCTCTACCAAGGAATATATAGAATTTTTTTTACTACTAATATAGAAAATAAAAAAAATGATTTAGTTAAATGTCTGAAGTCGTTGTTCAAATTGTTTTTCTGAATGGCTTCTCAATCCAACAGCTTGTGATGGTTTCCTATGTATACAGGGTTTGTTCCTTATAATTAGTGCGGCGTCTACAGCTTAAACAAAATAAAAAAAGTTGAATACAAAAGTTGTAGGGTTTTATCTCTATTATTTTTTGCAAACGTCAAAATAGGCAAATAACAGGTGCCAACTGTCATAATGACGAACACTTGCGTTTTTTTAAATGGATCACCCTGTATATTTTTGGGTAGAATGATTGTTTTTTTTTCTTCTGATTCCAAATATACCATATAATATGTTGATATTTGGTTCAACCGTTTTTGCGCTATTTAATTTTAAAATTGCATTGAGCAAGCGTCATCAATGATATAAGAAACCGGGAAAAGACCTAATTTAGGTTAATGTAAATGCATTTTTTAACAAATAGAAGAAAAAAAATTATCATTCTAGGAGTTTTATTTAAAAAAAATGCAAGTGTAAGTCATTAGGACAGCTGGCACCAGTCATTTGCCGTTTTGACATTTGCAAAAGATAATAGAGATAAAACCCCACAATTTTTGTATTCAACTTTTTTTAAATTTTTTATTTTTTTTTTGTTTAGGCTGTACAAGCTGCACTTATTATAAGGACAGGGAACCTTTTTTGCTAAGACAGTAATTAAAACTAATAGAAACCTGGTACGTGATGACGTCATTTTCATTATTGACTTAGGTCAAAGTTTAACTGCGTCAAGAAACGAAATTATTTCCGGAGGCAAACTTAAATCGATATTAAAATAAATCTTGTGCGGCTTCTGGTGGCGTCATCTGTCAGCGTTAAAGCTAAAGAGTTTGCTTCCCATTGCCGTTGGACATCTATTCGTAGTAGTATTGTCTTTGCTTAGGTTTTTTTTTTTTTTTTCATTATCATTATTCACTTAGGAAAATAGATTGCACAATGACTAGGTATTTCTTAAGTTAGTAGTAGAAAAAACATATTTTTCAAAGAGTTTCCATTATCTGCATTATCGCGTATTTAAATAGTCTGGAATTTTATTAGTAGGTATAGTCTTGCAAGTGGTAACCTGATAGTGACGAAAAGGGGAAGAAAAGTGGAGCGTACCCTAAGAATATTCACTGACGCCTCCTGAACTTAACCCTACGTTTGGATTCAGTGGCTCCGAAAACACTAAAGAAATGGATCAATAAAATTTTTAGAACAAAAACTCTCTAGATTCACCAATAACCACGCCACTGTGCTGTCGATCAGGCTCTAACCATGCCTCTGAATAATCACGCCCACTCACTGCTTTCTTTTTTTTTTGGGGTAACTCCCGATTGTCGACTTAGGGCGGGTATTATAAAACTGCTTTGACAGTTAACTTGAAGTTAACTTCTTGAATTACATGTAGGTAATTCCAGAAGTTAACTTTAAGTTAACTCTCAAAGTATTTTTATAATACCCACCCTTAGGGTGGGTATTATAAAACTGCTTCGACAGTTAACTCAAAGTTAACTTTTTGAATTACATGTAATTCCAGAAGTTAACTTGAAGTTAACTCTCATAGTAGTTTTATAATACCTGCCCTTATTGTGGTTATTACATATCAAATATGATGTTTATGCTTAGATGACAATTATTTAAATTTACTAGTATTTTTTTATATTATACTACACATAACCATTGAGCAAAAAAAAATAAAAATGTAAGCAACTTGTTCATTATTGTTTCCTTTGAGTTTGGCAACGCAGCAAATTATTTTGCAGTTCGCGGTTTGGCTTACCAGACTATACTTATCTAATACTTTGAAATATGTTTGATGTGCAGCTTCCTGCTCCATGTACTCCTTACAGCTCTTTCTGCTAATAAATTATTATTTCTTGTTTTAACATTTTTCAGTATCTAAACGCGAATAAAAACCATATTTGATTATAAATTGTTCAAAAAATAAGCCAGGGTTAAATACAAATAAATGATTGTCTATATAAATCAGTTGTTTTATTAAATTTTTAAGGATTGACTAGAAACATACCTACTTAATTGACATATTGAAAAAAACTTTTGTGATAATTGAATGAGTTATTTGCAAATATGTACCTATATTTGAAATTGAAACATATATGTAGGTACCTACCTATAATAATAATCTTATAATATTATCAACGCATTCCAGTTTTTCACTTGAAATTTTAAACTGGGCGATATTTGATTCATAAATAATATCAATATTACCTATAAGATGGCAATAATTAAACCTATACATATGTATTTATCCTCTTGATATACCTATAAATTGCGCCATGTCGTTACATTGTTTCATAAAGCCTGATCCTCGTTTAACGCTTTCGAGTCTATCCGGACATATATATCCCACTATCACTCTCAGAAAGTCTGGTGGTTTAATTGGGTCCCATTTTAGGTGTAATAGGTATGAATAATTCAGTCCTACACGGTGTTCCCCACGTGTTGGGCGCTATTTTACGTTTGGCAACGTCGTGAATGCGAGTTTTAGCATTGTCTAGGAGTGGATTTTAGTGGTTTTGGGTCTGTTGGGTTAATTATTATGTCCCATTAAAGAAGTCTGGGAGTTCTGGGACAAATAAATCCCAAAAAAATGTCTCCCAAAGAAAGAGGCACGATTACCATTGAAAATAGGCCCCCGTAAATTTCAACCAAATTTTAATATTTTAAAGGTATCATCATTGCAAAAAAAAAAAATTGAAATGTAAAGAGTATCGTATATCTGTGATAGCAGATATAGCTTGTCAAAGTATGTAGGTCCCAGGTCCTGATATGCCATGCATAGGAAATATCCGAAGAAATATCCTTACGTAGACTTTCCCCTCGTTTTTATCGTAATCGGTGATTTCACCGATGAGCTAGTTATTTTTGTTTAGTAAATTGAAAATGACAATGACCGATATAGAATAATGGATCCATCGGTCAAATTTGATGTGAATAAAAACGCAGGGTTTCTTGAATATCTCGAAAAATACTTTTCCGATTTTGACGTTTTTGGGGTCCTTTTGAAGGTATGCAAACCCCAAAAACGTCAAAATGGGATAAGTACCTATTTTTCAAGATATTCAAGAACATCTACGTGAAGATATTTCCTATGCATAGTATAGCAGGACGTACGTACTTTTACGAGCTATATCTGCTATCACAGACATACAATCCTCTTTGCATTTCAAATTTTTTTGCAATGACGATTCCTTCAAAATATTGAAATTTGGTTGAAATTTACGGGGGCCTATTTTCAATGTTAATCGTGCCTCTTTCTTTGAAAAAAAGTTGGCATTCTACTTTCTTTTTTTAGTAGGTAAAAAAGCCTACTAAAAATAAATAGAAAAGTTTGCGACCAATTCAGAGTTAAAAAATCCGGTTTGAAAGGGTTTTAAACAAAATTTCAATTTTGATCTTTTTTTTTATATATTATTGTTCCTTATTGTCAGTTGCTTATGTGTACTATGTACTACTAATCATCATGAAACTGTTATTCACATGTAATTTTATCGAATGTCTTATTTTTCTATATTATTATCACACTTGAAGGAATAGAAAAAATAAAAAATGTATTGTCGAAAATAAGGTGAAAGTAATGCATGGCCATTGAAATCAGTAACGTAGGTAAGATAAGCCGTATAGGTATACTTGGGATGTGACCGAACTTATATACCGTATTGGTATGTAGGTACGTACATATAAAATAATATTTAGAATTGAAAATACATAAGAAGTGGAACCTTGTAACTTAAAGGGGGCGTGACCCTGAAAAACGACTTAAGCTACTTAAATCAAGAAAAAAATCTAAGATCTCTCGTGAAAACCACAGTCCTATATTTAAAATAGTCTCCGAGAAAATTCCTTGTGAAGATAAATTATGCAGGAACTTGTGATGTCACAACCGCCGAAATCACAGTCTTCTGTTTGTTTAGTCGTCAGTGAACCGTACCCTATACTTTGAGTGGTTGCAATTCGTTCTAGGAGAATATTTTCTTTTGTTTTGGAACATTTTTACACGTGTTAATACTGTTCCTGATAATCCAGTGTGACGTCACAAATACCTAGTTGTAACTTTAAACCACTCTAACTCGAAAACGAAACATCGTAGCTAGATGCGCTTTAAATATTTATTCTTAGATTTTTTTGCACTAAAACTTTTTTGGGTCACACCCCCTTTAATTATAGATCGGTGTCTAGATGTATCAACACAATCTATTTGCACTCCTTGCAGAGACCAGTAATAAATTACTTATGGAATTTGGAAATGTAGCTATCAATAAACCAACGACTGACGTTTTATTCAAAATAAGTTCACCACTTTTAAAAACAGCTTATTTGTCTTTTAATTATTTTTTGTACTGTATCTTGCTTTATTTTTGAGAAACAGGTTGAAAACTGTTTCTCTGCACATCCTCGAGGTTTTTCTCAAAAATTTTAAAATGCTTGCAATTTTATGCGGATGTTCAAGTTGATGATTCTGCTCGTTTACACTACAGTGACTTTATTATTACCACAGTGGCGACAATGGCCGTCTTCTTTTTGATCGGTTCTTTAAAATATATTCATATGGAAAGCGCTGCTATTTTGTGCCCAACCTCTTGCTACTTTAAAATATGAATACTTATATAGAATTTAGATGGACATGCATCCATTATAAAAAATTGAAAACAACGTATCCAATGACTATAATTAGGCACATCAAATACGTTGTTTTCAATTTTTTGTGATAGATGTTCATTGAAATCCTATATTCGTACTTAAAAGTAGCTAGAGGTTGTGCACAAAATGGCGGCGGGACCTCTATTTGTCGCCACTGTATGTAATGGTTTATTTTATTTAGCCACTGTAGTTTACACGAGCGGCCATATTCGGATCTGTAAAATGTATTCCTAGTGACCCAATATTGATTTTACATTTAAAGTAAACAAAGTCAAGATTGACAAATAATGACAAAAATGATTTAAAGGAATATGAAAATAATCTGTAATTTCTTCAGAATCACAATCTTCACTTATCCTTTCCATTATTCTTAGTAATAATCTAAACCCAAGTCTAGAGAGAAGAATCTTTCTTGTTATCATATTCTTCAAAGAAATTAGTTCTTGGTTTAATTATTTTTTCACATCATCCACCTTCGTCTTCACGCTAAATGCATTAATTTCATGTAAATCCATATTCAGTTTATAAACAAAAAAAATATACGATACAAGACGAAAACTTCAAGACGTTAACCAACATTGTGGTTAGGTTCTTTTCTGGTTTAATTTTAACCACATAGTTAGTTTTTCTATGGTCAATGAAATGAAAGATTTCTTGACCAGATGATTTGGAACACTTTTTATTTGCGATTTAGGTGCGTAATAAAACAGCAAGGAGCATATCATAAATGAGGCTTTGCGAAAAAAAAATACAAATAAAATTACCATGGAAAATATTGCAATAAAAAAAGAAAAAAATCCTAAAGGAAATTGCGAATGCAGAAACGTAAACATAACAACCGAAGGAGCATAGGACAGGAACAAATAAACCAATTCCAATTTTCCCGTCCCTCAAATTTCAAATTTTGCGAATTATCAAAATATTGAACTCTGACAGATGTCACTTTTCTTGACAGTATACTGATCAATAGGAGCGGCCTTCGCAATTCGTGATTCGCATCTATAGGCAATTTTTCGCGAGGATAATGGGTTATGTGATGTGTCAATTGGGTCATACTCCCCTAACTCTCTCACAATCAAATTCCTGGCCTGCGAGTGACGTCACTATCAGCAGCTTTTAGTGATGAAGTCACCCGCAGACCTCAATGGAATGTTTGCGATTGAGGCTGTGCTAGTGAGTCGTCGATTTTAAATGTAGAAAACGTGATTTTTTTTATCTGTTCTCACAGAAGAAATCAAGTGTTTTTTGATCCTCGAGTATCCCAGTATTTGATGGTGGGGAAGTTAGGGGAGTATGACCCAATTGACACATCACATAAATTATGTCCAGCAAAAGATTGTTTGGTTATCCTCGCGAAAAATTGCCTTATATGAACTACACTTGAGCAGCCCTATTTTTAGGGATTAAAAAAGGATAATCTCTGCCATCTTCTTGAAACCTCAAGCTAAGATGATCCGTTTTTAACACTTGCAAGAAATGGTATTTTCCGCTCTGCAGCAGAACAAACGACTTTCCACTCCAAAAGGCAGTGCTTGCACGTAGAAAAAAATTATTTATTGATTTATTTATTTATACTCCTTCAAAACACAGAATTTGTAGCTTCAATTTTATTCCATTCTCAATCTCATAAGCAGTACAAAAGGTTTTATTCTCTGTCAACTTAAAAGGCCGGGATATATAGGGCAATCCAATCAAAATGGCTGCCAATGCCAAGAAATTAACGCCCTAAATTTAATTCAAACCACCGTGATATTTTTTTAACAAAATACTGTTTTTTGTATATTTTGTGGTGTTTTAAGATGATTTTCTTGTGCTTAGAAGGATAAGTTTCGTATTTTAAAATGGAGAGTTTTTAGTTTAAGAAATTATTAGTGGAAAACCCGGATGTTTGCAAAAGTTATGATTTCTTTGTGACAAACCTTTACTCACTAAACAATTAGGTACGTATTATCCAGGATTTGTTTCCTGTTTAGTTTTTTCTTAAACAAATCCTGAATCCTGATGTTTATTTTATTTGTCTGCTATTGAAGGTATCGACACAAGTTGAGGACAAGGTGGAGGATTGTAAATGGCTTGGATCCATACATAGTTCATGTGGAGCGACTTTTTGGTTTTTTACTATGGATTTCGTCAGATTTTCCCTCTTTTGCTGCAATCCATGAAGCCCTACAAAGTAGGACAGACAAATCGTTTTTCTCCATTGAAAACCTGTGTTTTGTCCCTGCAGGAACGGCGATGAAACGAGACTTTCTCGCGATTAGATCGGCTCCCACAACTAATTAAAATATAATATAACGTATGCATTTTCCAAAAAATAAATACT